ACGTGCTGCAGTGCTGGGCCATAAAGAGTTGAAATACTGTCCGTCTTGTGTGTAAAAGCTGCCATTCCTGCAGTTTGGACCTCGGCCAACACCTTTTCATATGATTCTTAGGTTGGATTGAGTTTCGTCAAATCACTTACAGCAACTGTAATGGTAGAAGAATGACGCGCAAAGTTCACGTTTTACGCTTGTCCGGGAGATTCAAAATTCCCTGGAGATATAATATTGAAGAGAATTGATTGTATTAAAAGGTGATGTCAGTAACCTACATTAGATTTCATTTTTAAAAGAAAGTATAGTGTCCCATGGTCAGAAATATAGAATCGTGTACAGAAAGTATTTTTCAACAATGTATTTCAATAGTTTCTACACTTGACAAAAACCAATGACAAGGAGTTAGTTCACAATTTGGACTTTTTATGACGGTAATTTCATAATGCCTTTTTGTATATTGATGGGAATGGGTATAGTGAAGAGAAGGAGAGGAAAACTTTCAGAATATTCAGTATTTTATTGTAGACCTTTTGTTCATAGCTCATATTTGGCAATTGGGGTCATTTAAATGATTATTGTTGTAAACTACTTTTTCAAAACTTTCTAAGACAAACAAGACGCCTTTATTACGATGCTATGTCCCCCACATTTACTAAGACTGTCCAAACACACTCCAAGATTAAAAATGAACTCAAGCAACTTTGGCATTTGGCCTTTGCCGTTTCTGGTTGACTATTATGTAGGTAAATCTAATCTTTGTGATAAAACTCATTATGCAATTTCTCTTCCTATTACCACATGAATCCTTACAACCCTTCAATGCAGTTAAATGTTTCTCCCAAAATCTCTGGTTGCAGACATTCCTCTTTTTCTGCAGAGCTCAAAACATTTTTCCAGACTTTCCCTATGTCTCCCTGACAACGGAGGCCCGTCCCCACACCGAGCACCGTGATTGGCTCCTCTTGCCCACACCCTTTTTTACACAGCTGCAGAGGTGTCACCATGTCGAATGAACAAACCGAGTATTGAAAGGATCAGTGAGTCTGCAATTTGGGACTGAACATTTGGGAGTAGGCTTAAATAAGAGCTTTATACTAATCCCATGATGCATTTCAGGACAGGTCTGCAGGCTAACTGCAGGGTGAGCTACTGTTGTAATACATACATGATTTTAGCTGTACAGTGTTAAAAAGTTACTTCATGGCTGATTATGGTTTCTGTCTGCTGTTGATTTACTACAGCTCAGGACTATCTGCTTTAGAGCTGTTTTTGTCAGTAAAATAAAGCAGTTTCAACAGGCGTGTTGAAACTGCTGTATCTGTCCGAGCAGATACGATACGAAACTCGATACAGGAGAATTACAATTTACTAGATACGATAGAATTCAAAGCGATACAGACTTTGAGCCACTTATCTAAAGCTCCATTATTGGTACCTTTCATTTATTGACGATGATTTGTTATTGAAGTCAAAACACTAAGAAAAAAGATAATTTCTAGGTTAAAATAAAAAAAATGGAAATGGAAAACTAAATCCAACAATTAAAAATCTATGTTGTATCAAATTTTAAAATATTTATATTTCTTAGGGAATAACTATTATTTTGATAATCAGTTATCAAAATATCAAGGACATTTTTCATAAATCAGACCCAATAAATCAGACCCTTGAGCAATGCCACTCAAGAACATCATAGAGATCCAACATAATTGGTCGTTTGATTAGAAATACTTTAAAACGGTTCCAAGTTGGAGTTATAATCCCTCTAAACATGGTTTGGTGTGGTTTAGGTAAGGTTTAAAAAAAAAGATAAAGAAATTTGTTGACAACCATTTCAATAATTTATTAGTTGTGATTAACTTCAGTCCTAGTCTGTGTTCTGAATCATCTACAGGGGCAGAGCTAAAGAAAAGGCTTCTGAATCTGAGTTGTGTCCAGTAATCAAGATAATATTGTAATTACTTTTTTATATCCAACAAGCCCAAAGACCTGCTACAACAAAAACACAGGATGACCAGATTAGACCAATAAACCACCTCAATCGAACATTTCTTTCACAACAGGAAAAATGACTAGTTAACTTCAGCAGTGAGTGGATTTCTACCATAGACACAAACTGTAGCTCTGAGTATAAGACCTGAGCCCTGCAGAGCGACTTGTACGCATTTAGCAAACATTAAAGAGAAAAACTATTTTAAAACCAGTCAGTGGATGTAATATAAACGCGATGTCAATTCAGAGTAACATACGATCAATGCGATGAATCATGTGAAACGTAAGAGAATTTCACAAGTGCTGATGGAGCACAATGTTTGATGATTTAACAACGTTGCAACAAACTACGGTACATGGCAGTACAGTGGAACAGAGGAAACAGAAGATACATGAGCCATAATCATGTGGCAGATACCAACAGGAAGTGAAACCAGAGATTATAACAAAACAGCAAATATGCATTGTCCAAAAAGTGGCTGTACTAAAGAAGAACACTCGCACATAGAGAGGTGTCGTCTGGGTTTTTTTGGCTTCCCTTGTTATAAATTCAATCTGGGGAGAGGTAAAGTAAAGTGTGATTACAATACTTGCTGGATCATTAAAGTAGCAGTATGTAATATTTGTATGTCAAGTCATCATTAAATGGCCCCAATATTTCAAAAGGCGTTATTAAATCATGCTCTTTTCGTATACATCTTTAACTGATTACAGTAGTTCAGCCGAGATATTTGAATATCAAAATTAGTTTTACGACCCGTAAAAGTTGTTAGTGATGTCCTGCCCTCCGCCGTTTCGCCAATCAGGAAGTCCCATGGATCGTCCGTGATCGGGTTGCCAGAACTCCGCGCGGCTCACTAATCTCAGTGGTAAAATAACATGTGGCCGCAGAACTAAAAAAGGTCTTGTTATGACTCTCAAATAATTAATGACAAAACAAAGACTAAAACGAGGATTTGTATCGGGACGCCTTTGAACAATTGACACGGCTGATAAAAGTTTGATGCAAAATTTGCTGCTTTGACTGCGTTCTTCAGAGTAATTTTACCGGCGCGAATCGGTGGTCTAGTGGTTAAAACTGTGTGCTCACGATGCAGTAACTCGGGTTCGATTCCGGACAGTCTTTTTGTATTTAATTGCATGTTATCACATTCTATGACAGATTGCTCTAAATACGGTAAAAGACGAAGGTCAAGATGTTTTTTGCCGATTATAGCTTAATTGTAAAAAGAATCATTTGCGACCACATGTACCCCAATTATAATAATGTTAGTCTCTTTTTGATGTGGAACTTATACATGTTTGTCTAAAAAATAGGGAATAAATAAAATTGAGCAACCCCTGATGTTGATACACTGAAGAAATACGTTCCAACATCCATTCTTCCCACTCCTATTTTGGATATCAATTGCTTATTTATTTTGGATAATCTATAAATACATCGCTTTTATTTTGTTTTTTGTTTTTTATCTCAAATAATAATAAAAAATTGAACATTCATTCAACATTAGCACTCCTCATGGCAATGTGAATGGAGACAGACAAACAACTGATAACATAATTCCCTGCGTTTGCTGCTGGATTTGGTGTGTATCTGGCAACCTGAGTCAGGGAGAGTGGAAGAGGACTTCAAAATATTGACTGTGACTGCAGTACCACTTTTGGCCAGATGTGTACATATTGTTCCTTTAAGCGACCTGTGTAGAAACCGCACTAGCTCATTTTAAAGTACGTTTTGTCCACATATAAGCCGCACGTGAATATAAGCCAACAGCTGAAGGAGCGAAACAATTAGACAATAGACAACTTTTTTCAACTGGACACAACATGATTTAATGACAAAGTGTTTTTTAACGCACAGATTAGTAAAGAAGACAATGAACTCTGACAATGCACACCTCACGTTAGCATGCGCAAGTTAACAGCTTCCACGTCGGGACTCATTAATCAATTCATATAGACAAAAACATGCGTCCTATAACTGCTAAAGTTTGAGTCAAAATAGTCCATAAACTCAACAGCCCAACTCTACCACAATAAGAATGCTGTAAGCTACCTGTTCTGGAGGTTGTTTACAAATATCTTAAATAAAATAATCAATGACTCTTCTGACCCCTGGAAAAGCCATGTTCCAGCTGTACTTTTTAGATTGTTTTATTTATGCATTTGTCTGGTGCACACAGGGGTACCTTTGCACATGTATTCCGATGTTGTTTCACAGCAAACGGCAAATAAAGTAAATCTGAATTTACATTGGCCGCATCACTATAGGCCGCTGGGTCCCAGGAGCTTGAAAAGGGGTAGCGACCATGGATCTATTATAATAACTGGATAGGGTATTACTAGCTTGTAGCTGAATAACTCATGTGCTCGGGGGATTCTCGCGGTACTGCAGCCTAGACCAGACTAAATTCACGTGGGCTACCCAGAAATTTTCCCCATAGAACTCAATGCATATTAAAACAGCTCAACCTCAGCTGACGGAGAACCTACAGCTTTAATAAAGATCGGATTTTAGTGTCCCTTGTCATCCTGAACTTTTTTTCTTCTTAAATCCTTCGGTTTTGTTTAAATCCACACTTTAGTGCCACAAACTCTGCCCGTCTCGCTCTCGCTCTAACTCCCGCTCTGATGAACTGCTCTGATTGGTCAGAGCGCGGCCGAGCCCCTCTGTGCACGTGCGTGAGACCCGGTGTGAGACCCACACATGCGTGTTTGGCGCAACGCATTATGGGAGATCATCCACTGCGCAGAACCGGGAGGACCAGACGATGCCCAAATACAGGCGAGTTTCCCATAGATCTTTGCGAGTTCCAGGCGACTTCCGCAAATCTTTCAGCCCCCATGCCGTCACAAAGCGCCACTAAGCACAACCATTCATTTGAATAGGGCGCCATCTTGGATCGCCGGGGCTTGGTAGCGACTCATAGTCCAGCAATTATGGTAAATGACAATAATGTTATTAGCGTAGCGTTAACTGTGGTACATGAAGCGTTTGTATCGGAGTGTCTTACCTGGAGCTGCCTGGTTCATGTTGAGTTCACTGGTGATCAGAATCTCCAACACCTGCACCATCGGATCCACGCCAGACTCAGCCCTGAGAACAACACATTGAGTGACTCCTTAAGTGTTATCATTTGAGACATGAGACCAAAGCCCTCTGAACTTGAATACACACAGTAGAAAAAAACAGAGTGAGGAACAGCAGGGGAAGAGCAGAGTGCATGAAGCCTCAGCCAGGCCTGGACCAAGACCGGACCAAGACCATCAGGAGTAGAGAACTGCCATGTTAGGGGCCCACTGTCCTGATGGAACTTCTGCTTTACAACAACTGTTTCTTGACTCAACATTGCAAAATTCAGACGATGATTCAATTATTTCTTTCTCAACACTAATAATGAACATAATTTGTGACTAATTTAAAAGTAAACTAGCTCTGTAAACGATCCTGGTGTTTATATTTTGATAATGTATTTGCAAATCCAGATACAGCTGACCAATCATGCGTCTTCGGTCCTTGAATTCAGAGTCGTAGGCTCTTTGGTTGCTAGATCGTTGCTACCCATAAATTTGGCTCCATATCCCCGCCCACAGAGCCCGTATGTGTCTTCTTCTGCATTAGGTAAACACTCTCAGCTCTGTCAGTCCACTCCTTCTATGGTAGAGGCAGACAGTAGTGCAGAAGAACCCTGATGCTACGGTGGATGAAGTCAAAGGTACGTTGCTCAGGTTTCCATTTTTACTCCAATAATTTATTGATGACTGCTCTCACCCCGTGTTGTTTCGGAAGAGCAGGGCGCTGAAGCTCTCTGCGAGGCCGCGTGGGGTCAGCTGGTTGCGGTGGTTGTGGAAGCAGACCCTGGAGAGGTGTCGGACCACACTGAGGAGGGTGAGTCCGTACTGGGCCGGGGTCAGAGAGGTGGAGGCGATGGTCCGGAGCAGCTGAGCGCACTCCTCCAATTCACGCACATCTACCAAACCAAACAGACAGATATTTAAACGCGGTACAAAAGTCCATTAGTCTTATTATAGTGTATGAACATGGTGACTTGTATTTCCTACATGCAGATAAGGGGGATAAGTGGCGTGATGTAATAAAGAGACTATAGGCCTTTTCCAGCCATTTTAATAAGGCAATTTATTAATTTAAGTTTCAAATGACCAGAATTTTTATTAGTTCATTGTTTTAAGAATTTTTATGAAACAGCAAAAAGAAAATGTTTAGCGAGCCGGCTGAGGATTTAGTATGTTTGAATGTCTATAAAAGATGCATTTTTCCAACTCTTTATTTTAAGACCGGTTTCATTTGGAAGGGGAATTACGTTACTCAGATACATTTTTTATGCAGTTGTAGAAATTGAAGTGCATTTTTTGGGTGAGACAGAACTATATATATTGATTGGCCTCTTTTTAGTCGACTGATAGATAACTGGACATGTTTTGGATCAACCAACAAGAGCCCAAGAAATGATACAGAGGTTGATTTTTTTGAGAAACCAAAACGGTATTGTGAAAAACACTACTAACATAATGAATAATTAGATCGTGACAGCACCTTGTACAAACCACTTTTAATTAAAATTAAAGTGAGTATTAACTGCCTTTAATACAAAGCATAAAACTATTTTAATAAAATTACACATCACACAAAATTGGGGAAAACGACATGCATATTTACTCTCCAATACAAGCAACAGCTAAACAGGTCTGACATGTTGCATCCCTCTGACACTATGCTTCGCAACATTCCAGATATTTACATAGAATTATATATTTCTTGCACTAGAATAACAGCATTTTATACTTGCTTCTTTATTATGTCAAAGTTAGAGATCACATACTTGATTCAACAATTTGTTAAACTTGGAGATTTCAGACATCCTTGTTATGCTAAAACTAGATATTCTATACTTGCTTCTTCATGCTAAAGTTAGAAATTACATTTTATTTTAGTAAAAAGTCATTGTTCATTTATCATGTGCTGTGTGCTCCAGATTCCTACTGTTCTGTAACCAGTGATCCAAGACTGAAATCTCCCCACTGAGAGACGAATAAAGGATCTCTTAATCTTAATTCCAGTGCAGCTACACGCAGTACCCTCCCCAATTTCACCTTGCACAGCCTGGATCATGTCCCCCTGCAGAGCCGTGGGCAGAACGGGCCCTGGGAGGTCCTGCAGAAAGCGTACCACCCCCTCACAGAGAGACGAGAGCTCCAGCTGCTCCAGATCTGAGGAAAACACACGGCCATTTAGACATAATTACAACACACTCAATAGTAACAAGGCGTCTACTACAAAGACTAAACACGGAGGGAAGCAGAGACCCAAATCTGGCTTCTAGCTTTGGACTCAGAGTCTGTCTGGGTACCGTACATGCGACCAAATGCTAAAGACTTGCCTGTTTGACCAAAAGGGGACTAACAAAAACTATACAAGACAACAGAAGCACTAGAAATCAATGACTCCAGTAATAAAAAGGTGAATTAAACTTGTGACTCAAGCTTTAAAGCCAAAATATACAGAACATTTTCAGCTATTTAGCTTTATATATTTGGAATGTTTTTCAATGTAAATCCTTGCATATAAATCGACCAATGCATATTTTGGTCAAGGATGCCATTGACAGATAAAATCAATATTTTCTGACCAGTTTCTGCCAACTGTCGCATGTCCAGAGTCCCCCCACTCGTGCTGCGATACACAGATGGACTGTCAACACCTGAAAAAAAGAGAGCAAATTACAATCAGTTGTCGATCATTTCTGTCACTATCTGGCCAGATATAAACAAACATATCCAAAAAGGTAGGAAGGGCATCATCAGAGAGACTTTAAAAAAAACCTTGTATAACTTAAATCATATTTTTCTTCTTCACGTTTTAAGACCTAAATTATCAATTTATTATTCCATTACAATATAGCCTCGAATATAAAATCAGTGCATTATCCCAGATTAAAGTATAACAAAAAGGGGTAAATGTAAAAAATAATTGATATAAATGATAAAGTAGCTGCAGCACAAAGCAAACTCATTGACAACATTACAGCTAAAATTAAATTGCTAATGTTATATGTGATTGTATTGTTTACTGTTTCAGTGGTTATGAATGCAACCAATACGAAACGATTCTCAACATGGGACACTCACCTTTGCTCTCCACCGCCTCCATGAGTCGACAGAGCAGCGGAGGAGCCGTCTCTGGAGGACCGAACTGATCGGGGAGATCTGGAAGCACAAAACCTGACGAACACACAGACAACAAGAGCAATGTGAGCAAAACATCAAAAAGTGCTTTAAAAATTAAGGAAATCGAGCTTTATGACTGTTTTTGTCCCAGTGCCGCTTATTTCTCATCTCATATCCTTCAATTTAACCAATTATAATTATTAACTGCTTTAAATAAGTGTGATATCCTTCCATCCATCCATTTTCTTCCCCTTAATCCATTTCTGGGTCGGGGGGGTGGCAGTCAGAGCTGCACCCAGTACACATAGCACAGCCCCTCACTGATCCTCCTGCAGGTGGTGAGTCCACAGGAGCTGAGATCTTTCAGCGGGGGCTTCAGGCAAAGTGGGGTTAAGTGTCTTGCCCAAGGACACAACGACAGCAGTCATCAGTGGGAGTTGAGAAGTAGGTCTTATGTTGGGCTCGAACCCACAACCTTCAGGCTCAAAGGCCAATGCTCTACCAACTGAGCCACTGTCACCATAAGTGTGATATTTTTGCCAAAATAATGTATATTTCTCATAGTTTGTGCCATTTCTTAATCCTAAGCATTGTTGTAAATACTCCACTGATTGGATAATTAACAAATAAGTTTTCCCATTGTTGATTTAGGATAAAAATTATTAATCTAATATGATTTACAACTGAAAATCATAACATATATACATACACAATACAAAATCAACTAACAAATGGTACCCTTGAATATCAGGTGAACTACATCTAAATCTAGAACAGCCTTTCTCATTGCTGTTTTCGGAGAAAAAGTCAGACTTTTAAACCGTTTCCTGCGAAAGCCACAGATTAAACAGAAAGACAGTAAAGATTGCATTCTATTTTTAGACCCTTTTTTTAAAGCCACATCTGTGAAAGAAAAGTGCTGCTGCTGTTTGTTCAGAGCCGAGGACCTGTAGAATAGTTTAATCATTATATAAAGAAAAAAAATAAAAGGGAAGACATGATTTATTTTATTATTCATTATTTTAATGTTTCCTTGTGTATGTTTAAATTGCCTCGAGTATGAACTGTGCTATACAAATAAACTTGCGTTGCTTAATGAAAAAGATAATGTAGACTATTTTCATGAAATGTAAATAGTGACTCAGGATTACCGTTGCAGCAGCAAATTAGTTTGAATTCCAAAAAGTCATATTGTGACTTACTCAAAAGTTTCCATTTAAATGAACCTTTCAGATGCCAGAGTAGCAGAATCCAGGACACTTTCTGTACAGAGGCCTGGCTCCCCACACATTTTTTCATTCAATTTTCTTCCATATTTTTATATTTATGTCTGTTACTCATTGTAGCAGTCTTCTATCCCTTATAAAGTTGAGGTTTTCTGATTCACATCACAAATTTCTTAAAACGAGTGACTCATTCTGACACTCGAAATAAAAAGAGAAGAACGTATAAATCTTGCTTTTATGGACGACTGCTGTGACGCACACTGACCTTCGGACTCTGAGTCGGCCCGAGCAGAAGCAGCAGAGGGGGGTCTGGGGGGCCGCGGTTTCGGGGTTGGGGGAGACATGCGCTTCCTGCCCACGAACTCCACGTATGTCCCTGGGAAATCTCCTTTCTCCTGCAAGAACAAGGCTGGCGTTACCATGGTGATTCACTACATTACTACACTAAAGCACGTCAGGAACAAAAGTGACCAATTCTAAAAGCAGAAAGATCCGGGAATCAGGTGCCTTCACACATGGTCCAAACTTGGTTCCTTTGGGGATAAGAATGGTATAAATGTGGAAAAGACCAAACAAATCAATTTAGGTTTTGTCTTCATTTCAGATCTGCCTTTAGGAGGTATATTCACCATTTGTGGTTTAGGACTAGGGACTATTTTAGTCTCGTTTTTGGAGGGGACAATTAAGATGAACCTTGAACAACTTGAAAAAGACAGTGGCATAATAAAGTATAATGTTTGGACCCTGTGGTTGCCAGCCTCTCACCTGAGTGGTCTCGTTGAACCCCGGCAGCCATCCGATCTCGGCTGGTCGCTCCTCGGCTCCGTTGGTGCATCCCAGAGTGAGCAGCGCGGCCTTAGACACCAGCAGGACGTCGCCCACGTGGAGATCGATGTCCTCCTCTCGCTCCTTCTTATAATCGTACAACGCGCGGTACTGAAACCCCTCCGACGTCATTGTTCAGCCACGCAGATATTTAAATAACAAAAAATATACAGTCTACCAAGTCCGTTTTATCAGACCAACAAATGCGTGGAATCGGAGATAGAAAAAAAGTTTGCACAAAAGCATTCAAAAATATTGTGGCAAAATTGAAAGAATGAAGCTTTTCTGGTTCTCCCAACAAAAATACTTTTTGCAGTAGAGAAAAAAATTGTTAAAATTGTCAAAAAGTGGTTATGTTGAGTCCATGATTATACAGCCAAAAATACAAAAACTAGTTTGGAATATTGATCAAAAACATTACCGTCCCAAACCCAAAGGAATGTGTGTTTTTCCTCTTCTTTTTTTTAAATGAAAATTTATTTTCACATTTATTTATGACAGAATAAATTTGGCATTAAAATACATTTTTGTTATTAATTTATGGATTGGAATGATGTGAACAAAAGATTTTTGGGGGAATTATTGTTGTGTTTGGAGGTAATAAAAATAAGGAATTTCTTGGGAATTGAAAGTAAAAAGGCAACAAAATAAATAGAAATGTACTGCTTTTCAGGCAGGAAAAAATATGAACTGCATAAATTTCGATCTACACGAGAAGGAATGTAGTTTTTATATTTCGAAAGAATGAAAATAGATAGATTTTACCCTTTAATACGAAAGAAATGAATTGAGAGGAAATATTTAAATTCTGGATCGATAACTAATTCTAGTCTAGTTAAAGAATTAGGCAGATAAGTTGGAAAGAACAATGGCTTGTTTATGTGAATTCCTTGAGATTGGTTTATTATTGTGCCGCGAGTCAAAAAAAATAATTATTTATTGTGAAATATTGTTAAAGTTTGTTGCACCCTGATGATCAGAACAGTCTCGGTTGTAGCAGCAGTTTGGAGGCGAAATGCTTTGGGACCTGAGAGTTAAAAATAAAAATAAAAACAAAATAATCGCGTGAATTTGTACAAAAATACGAGTTTAGTTTCCTGAGGTCTCAGCGGGAGTGGGCGGGTACGTCTCGCCGCTCTCCATTCTGATCAACGCAGCGTCATTCGGCCAAAACACGGAGGAAACGCCCGGCCGCCATCTTGGAAAAACTCTGAGTGGGACATGAGGCGGAGGGAGGAGGCGGGACGCACATCTGGAGCTGCAGAAGAAGAGAAAAAAGAACGGATGATTAATTTAAAAGAAAGTGGTGAAGCAGCAGCTGTTTGATCTCAGGGACCGTATTTAACATTCTGAAAAGGAAATGTAACTAACTTTTGAGAGAGCTTCTTATAAATCACTTTATGAAGAATTCCTGAATTTCCTTCGCAATCAACAAAGTATCTAATTGTCGCTGTTTTTCACTCCTTAAAATGCATTTGATAGATTAGACATTACACTAAAACAGCACAATATCATTTTGATTTTGCTGAGTTAAACAATACCCTTTATATCTTTTGATAATGAAGTATGAATAAACGCTTGTTTAGTTAAAAATTTAACAGCCATCGTAAATAAGTGATGTCATAATTTCTAAATCTCTTGTGTTATATTTATTCTTTTCGAAAATCATAAATATCTAATTATTGCACAATCATGAAACATGCAAGATTATGGTATAAAATGTAGTGTTTACAATTGTAAACATAAACTACCAGATCCAATCACAATAGTGCAATTTTTGCGCAAGTACTGGCTAATAACACATCAGATCATTAATGAAACGTTTTCCCTTTGGAGCCATCTTTATGTCTTTTACGTGTATTTATGATGTTTTCTGCGGCATTTCCACCACCTTCTATTGCATATCGCAGTTATGTATTCAGTATGACTGCATTGTTTTCAATAATTCCTTCGTCTTCTGTCTTGCAGTGTTTTCAGGGAGACGAGCCCAGCATCTGTAGTTTGTAGATAGAATATACTACAAGTACAGAATGGATCGAAACAGAACTTTTTGTAATTGTCACATACTGGAGACTTCTTATAATGAATTATTACTGTCTTTTGGGTCATTGTCCAGAGTAAAATAAATGGTGTTTTTCCTGAGAGAATTATCTTTAAAATGAACATGGGAAGAGGTTCTGGTCATTATATTGGTCAATCTCTACATGAGATTGTGTCTTCAAAAATGTAAAAAAAAAGTGTAAACATTATACGAATCCAATTAATGATTTTCACACAGATCTGTGATTGTTGTTAAACCACAAACTATTCTGATCAACATCGAAAGCCTGCTCAACAAGGTCACCATAATATTTAGTCAACATTTTTATTTAAATTCCCACCGCGACCACATGACAACCCCCACTGACCTCTTAATATAATCCTGGGGAAAACCCCTCTTTAAAATAATAATGTCTTTCAGATAAATATAACTCAACTAACCGAACCAAAGAGACTATTAAAGCAAAGTCAGCAGCAGGGTTTATACTAAAAGGTGCATGCGAATAACAGTCTATTTCAGTCCATCATCTCTCACAGTTTGCGGATGTCAAACTAAACATCAGCTGAGTAATAAAAGACAGAAAAGTTCCACAGGAAACCACAGCCACATCACAAACCTGCCTCATGATAGACCAGAGCCAGGCCTGTGTTAAAACCATCTAGAACACCAGGACTGCCGTCTGCTACTGAAACCAAGGACTACAGTACTAAACCAAGAACAAATCATCCTACTTACGAGAATGTGACGCTCTCACATCAATATATACATAGATCCATCTCAGAGAGTGAAATAACAGTTACGCTTTTTAATGTTGCATTTATTTAACAAATGGTTTATTGTGGTGTACAAGTATTAAACAGAGCCAAACTGAAGGAGGATTTCTACATTTTGCATGCATGGAAAATTCTGATTTAAACTCACTCTACAATAATCATATTCTGATTCTCTTCTCCCACACACATATACAAAATCTAGACAAGAATAACAACTGATTACCCAAGATATAATGAGACAAAAGGATAACAGCCTCACATAATATTAAAAGAATATTCCAAAACATTAGTGTCAAGTTTCAAAGCGTGCACCAGCCACAGATCCAAATGCCTGACTGGCTCGTGACTATTTGGTTGAAGTTGACATACTGCAAACATGCATTAGATGAAAAATAAATGACCAAACGAGTGCAGATGAAATATTTATTCTCAACTCATTAAACTTGCTGCTAATCTTTAAAAGCGCCACCACAGCTGTTAAATCATTATGAGAGTCGGTTTGCGTGTGAGAAGACAGTTACATAAGAACTTCTATTTGTACAGACACTTTTTAGACAAATATTGACCGCACAGTACACTGCTAATCAGACAATAACAGAGTACAAATATGAGATATGATTGACCTATTTTCCACAACAAAAACATCTGATTAAGTGCATATACACTTCAGACAATACCATCAAACAGCTTAAATATAAAACACAGGAACACATTTTTAATATACGTTTTTATTGTTTTTAAAGGATAAAAGTGGCTCTACAGTCGCTAGCATTACGTTTGCTGCACGCATAAATAAATTAAAAGGTTCAGTCAACAACTAAAGTCAAATAAATATACAGAACCATGCACTGAGGCTTGTCCGGGGTCACACAAGGAGAAATAATGGGTTAAATCTGTATAATTCTAAATAAAAACGAGAGTCGTGAGAGGAAGACAGAGGATCTCTTTTATATCAGGGAAACGCCAGTGAAGGCTAACCACTAGCTGTTAGCATTAGCCCGATCGGGGATTGTCACTTACCGCCTGAAATTTCGGCATTAAAACTGTGCTCCAGTGCCCAAAACTGTCGCCATCGTCAAGTGGAAACACCAATCTATCCGTGATCGCAGTCAGGCAACGTCCAAACCCGATAAATCCACAGAAATGCGACTAATTCCTCTACACTCGTGGCTTCTCCTCAGACGTCTGGCACAGGATTAAGTCAAGCTAACACTCTTCGTCCACTTCCGGGTTTAGCTGTCACAATAAACGCGATGACTTTTCTTTCAGCATATTTAATATTACACATGTACAAATCAACATATTTACAGAAATAATGTTTTACTTACGATTATTTTCGATTGCGTGGTTGCTTTTGCTGATAACTTTAAAAGCACGTTTTAGTCTGTTACATAACTGGGTTCGCCAAACTACATCGCCTTTACCAGATCTGCAATAACGCTATAATTGGGAAATATTGCACGTTTATACATCATGCAAAACAGCTAAACATTTATTTGCTTGTGAGTACAGTGAGGTGGATAATGTGTTTTAAATGACATAGAATGGAATAATATTGTTGTTTGACAGACAGAGTAGACACGTCTGGGAGGCACGGCTGCTACGTCACTTCCTGTAACCCACATTCAGTGCACAGTAGACGGGAAAGTGATCCGAGGCAAGCCGCGACAAAAGCTCGTGTGTAGTGGCCTGGTTCATCCAGACAGCTGCTGCGTGGGCATGTGCGTGATGTGCGTGTGTGAGAAGAAAAAGAGCTTTATCATGGAACAAATGAACAGTGAAAATACATTCAAAACATTAGAGTGCAGATCTTGAACAGATAAATAGTTTTTCTATGGCAATGTTTTTTCAATTTGGGTGTGTTGTTTTTTTAACTATGTTTCTCCTGTTACCCGCTATGGATAACAGGAGAAACAGATGTATACAGTTTTACAGATATATACATAAATATAAAATATAAAATATTTTATTTCTATGTAACTATACTAATTACATGATACCACTTCCAGAAATTGAATTTCATTTTGAAACAAATAATAAATAGAATATAACAATATTTAAAACAAAAGCACAACAAATTAGGGACTTTAACATATTAAGATCAATGAATTACACAAAAATAATGCATAATACAATTATCAGAATAAATGGATTTATTTATGAACAAAACACAATAGACACAACAGGAGTGTATGAAACATTTCAAGTATTTTGATCACAAACAGTAAAGCCACACTGAAAATTCCTCATGTACAAATACTGCAGCTTTGAAAACTCCAGTGCACGTACAAATATCAGTGTAACTGTGCCTTTCCACAAAATGTAATTTATTTACATTAATACATTTTAATGACTACTTTAAAATTAGCATATTTTTGTGTTTGAATAGAGTTTAACTAGTAGTTTATCTTGTTTAAGGCAGTCATGTTAAACCAGAAGTTCAGTTAATATTTAAATAGGTACAAGATTTACTGGCAGATTTAGTCATAGCCACATTTAAAAACAATTAAGTTCATGGCACTATATATAAAATATTTTCTATTACAGTGTAAATGTTCTAGTCACATCATGAGCTGCACAAATGCCTGAGCAACAGAACTCACTCTCTCTGAAGGACCTCATTAATTCGTAACCAGGCTTTGATTGAGCAAATTTAACTTCAAGTTGCTTTGAGAATATAAAAAATGGAAAGGTTCATGAGGGAAGAGGAGAAATGCCTAAAGGCCGAACATTGTGAGCTGTGGGGGTGCTTTTGGCTGAAAACGAGGCCGCCAAGCTAACTCTCATCCGAACAGAAGGGAGTTAGTGTTATTCAGATTTTATTATAGCTCTTTGGAGGCTGTAGAAATGTCCTCTCTTACATTCACAGGCTGTAGATGTGTCCTTTGATTCGCTCCCACAGTGAGATGGTCCCCCTCAGACTCAGCTCCTGCTTGAGCGTCAGACCCACGGCCTCAGACTGGACCACATCACAGTAGACCCAGATCTGAGCCTGGTCCCGGTTCATGTGCGCGTTACAGGAGGATGGGAGTGAGGAGGCAGTGGGACGACACAAGGAGCGCCACACCTGGAAGGAACAGAGAAAATATTAGGCATTATTTGAATGGATTTTGGCCGCTAAACCTGATGTAGCATTTAATTTAGCCTTCCATGTTTTAGAATTGTGTCTGTGTGTAGAAAAAAGCACCAAAACTGAGACACACTAAAGACATTTGTTTTTGTATGATTATGATCATACGTGATTGTATGTGAACATAGTTTTCCATTCGCTTTGACTGTATTCTTGCTGGTGAACTCTCCCATGAAGCCGCAGTGTTTGTGCCGGAGCAGAAAGCGATAGAGGTGACGGCTGACTCTTCTGTTTGGTGTTTTGAGAATCTTTATCTGATCTGAAATTTTTCCACTGAGTTGCACACAAATGTTGCGACTTCCACGTTGGAGGTCACTCGCCAATTTAGACACTTTCTTTTGTCGTTATGTTATATTATTATTATGGTGCAACATTTAATGAGAAAACTGATCCAGTATGATGTTTCTCTTTACGTCTGAAACATGAAAAAGTTATTTTGCAGTGAGTCAGGCTTATAACTCATGCACCCTAATGTATTCACCCTGTGTAGTTTATGAAAGCATTTCAGTTACAAGTGTAGATCAGTAGTGAGATTTCAAATGTTCAATATTTATGAATGACTCAGTGGCATTATATTATTATCACAATATCACAGAAGAAAGCACAAGTCCTTTTTTGGCACATTTGAACTCCACGTCCTTATGAAGAGGAGATCAGTGGTTTAAAGTTTTAGATGGAAACTGCTACAACTAAAAAATAAACATTAATAAAAGTCTATCTTCACTTACATTTGGTTTTAAACATGGGTGGACCTGTTTCTCTGTCAGTCTGAAAACCCGTCTCACCTGCTCCATGTCTCTGCAGTTGTTTTTGTCGATGATCCACTTGACCCTCTGTCTGTCCTGGAGCTGCAGTTTGGACACAGTCTGCAAGAAGCGCCGGGACGAGGTCTGGACCCGTATCTGGACTCTGCTCTGATCTTTAGTCCGGACTCGGTGCCTGAACACGGTCCAGCAGCGTTTGGAGGGAGTCTCTGGTTTGGTCTGGACCTGTAGACCCGGGTCTGGCGGGGTCTCTGGAACCAACAAAATGCCTCGGTCTTCCTCTGGTTGGTCCAAACTGGGACTGAGGCCTCGGATTTCCTGTCAGAGAAAGAATCAGGGAATAGGTTTAGTGATTATCTGTCAATTGTACAGAATCTTAACATGATTAATGACATTTGTTTGGTTTTGCAGCAGTTCTCTTTCTCACCCTTTCCTCACATTCTAATTATTCACTGTGATTATTCACTATAATTAACATTTTTCAAAAGAGGCACAGATCCAAGTGCAGATTTCCACCGCACTAAAGATAACACAAGCTAGAATTTTGAGTTTTACAGAAAATAAAATGTTCTCTATATAAATGCAACAACCACTCTGTTTAATACACTACATTACATTACATTGAGAGTTGCTCTTATGTTTCTACAATACAAAATGGTGCAAAAAGAGATCAAAATAAAAATGTACACAACTTGTATATTTCCTTGTTCTTACCGTGGAATTAACATGTCCCTTTGTTGGCGTGGTCTGGTTCGAGTCTTCAGTTGGTCTGTTTATTCCCCTGGTCTCTGGTATTGGGTCAGGGGTAGAGGGGATTCTGGGAGGAGGTCTGGCTGGTCTCAGAGGCAGGTGTCGGTCTACGATGGAGGGAAACCACGGACTGAACACCTGAAAGACAACAAAGAACAGACAATACGATCAATTACTCTTTATCCAAACCCATTTAGAAGTGTGCATTGCAGTTTATATTTTTCATCCGGTTTATTGTTTGTTTTGTCTTTTGTATGCAAGTTTGAAATAAATTAATACAACTACTACTACTAATAGACAGAAACACTTTTTTTTGCAAAATGTAATTCAGCACCTCAACCATTAGTTGTAAGTGGTGCTATTTCTTGTGATTTCTCAATCCATTTTTATTTGTATGGATATGTTTTCTACTTTTGTGCAGCCTAAAACTGATCACCTGCGGTGGACGACAGGGGAATGGAGCCAGAAGCTTCTCTGTGGTGCCGATCAGAGTAGACAAGTCCTGGTCTGGTCCAGATTTATAATGAAGAACCACATCCTCCATAGGCCCATCACCAGGACCAAGGCAAAACCCAGATCTGAACCAGGACTATAGGGACGACATTTGTAGCTTCGAAACCAGACTGCGGAAACAAGGAAAAGAGGGAACAGAGTAGAAATTGATCAATTATTTATCATTAAAATTCATAGTGTGAATTGGACCATGGCAAACCTGGACTGCACCATAGGGACAAGAGAATGCAGCTCAATCTGCTGTAGTAAGGGCAAGTGTTGTACTTTTAACTCATACAAAAGCTATTCAAGAAAAGAAAAATCCGTAGGGATAATGAAACGGATGTTGGTATTTTATTTATTTGTAAGACAGGATCATTGCACACGAGAGTTACAAGAACAAAACAGTATCAACATAATTAACGCTAAATAGTGGCATTATGTTAAAATAAAGGCACACTTTTCATATTGGGAAAGTGATTAAATGATATTTTGAGAGGATAATAAATAATATAGCATTGGGTTTGTTTTTAGCTTTAGCATGCTAATAGCTGACGTTAGCATAAACCATTGGCTCAAGTCAAAAAGAGGGAATCGTGTTTTCAGTTAGCTGGTGTCTAATACGAACTATACGAGCGGCTCATAGAAGAGTTTTGCATCTTTACCTCGATCCTGATTCCGTCAGAAAGAAGAAGTTAAACTGAGCAGAGGAGAAACATATACTTAACCAAACTTAATATATACAGTCTATGGGAGAAAGCAGCAGATTCCTCTGGTTTGGGTTTGACACAGAAACACGACAGCGCCGCGCAGTGGACACAGCTGGGTGTTACACTCATGGATCTACACTGGACTCATACTTCCACACACATGCTTTTATTTATTGACAATGTTGTCATGTTTTGGTTCTCCTTGTTGCTGTATTTAATTTTGCTGTTTAGTATATTCAATATATTATCTAATGATACTTCTTGATATTAGAAATGGTAAATACATGGTCCTTCATAATAAATATGGACCAGGACAGAAGCTCCGAGTCCCATTCCCCTGTCGCCCTTTGCAGGTGAACCGTTTCTAGCAAAAGTAGAAAATATTATGCATGAAATTGCATAAAAAAGGGGAAAGGGGGGGGGGATACACCTGGATGGTTTACTGGTTGACCCATTTATAGAGACTTTTGAAGATCTATTTGCTTTTCACTCCACACTGACATGGGCGTCGGACTGGGGGGGTAAAGGGTACCGAGTACCCAGGGCCCAAGGCGGGGAGGGGCCCTCTAAAGTGTGTCTTTATATTTATATGTATTAGGCATTGTGGTATATTCATATTATTACAATTTGAATGAAAGGGGCCCTGTATAAAAATAACCAACGTTTTAACCTCAGTTTTCCTCTAAAAACAAATTTGTATGCTATATCAGGGCCCTGCCACCCCCTTACAAAAGATCAAATGGTACGACCCACATGTGCGCTTGTTGCTGTGTTGCTGCCGCTGCAGCGAGTTGACTTGTTTGACAAGCAGCGGCAGAAGCGGGAAAAATAGAAATTTCTTTTCCAAAGAAAGGAAAATCAGGATTTCAGAAAAGAAAAGAAAGACAGGACAGGGAGAAAAAGTGTAATGAGGGCAAGCAATTGCTTACTCAGTTCTTCCACACGAGAGGTGAGTATATAGAGACGTGTTAAGGCCACATCAGGAGAAAACCCAGAGACATTTGTTTCTGTATTCTAAACTCACGGAGAGCTAACAGTGTGCCGTGTACGTGGTAAAAAAAAAACGTTATCCAGAGTGACACACACAGACGCGCAGCTGTAAAGGGAGCTCACACACTCTGCTGTCCACTTCTCCTTCAAAGGCAGGCAGCAAAGAGTTATTTTCATGTACAACCCTGTACCCTATATTCCCACTATTGTCATAATCTGTCCGTCCGTGAGTCTTGCAGTCATAAGTCACGGGTCACTCACTGGCCTCTGCATTGGATCATCTGGTTATAACCATACAAATCACACGCCCCGCACCGATTTGGAGTTTTCTGGTGACATCTAGTGGTCAAAATAATGTAAATAAGTCTAATGGTAAAGGTTTCTAGCTCTACAATTATCTTAGTGTGTAAACAAGGGTGAAATGAGACTTTCTGGTGTGTAAACTATTGCTTTTAAGCCAGAAATGACAACTGACAATCACAGCCCAGACCATGCCCAACTGTAAGCCCCCCTTCTTCTCCACTGGTGCCATTTTTACAGAAAAATGTCAAATGTTCATGTGGGCGAAGTAAGGCTAGGCACAGGTGTTTAGTTGAAAATGGAATAGGCTTATTTAAAAAAAGATTGCATCGATTGAATTTTGCCACAAAGTCTAAATTGGTGGATAATAATGAACCATAAAAAGTATTTTGTTGTATGTTTGTACAATAACAAATAAGTAACTTACCTACTCATGGTCCATACAAATAAGATAAGATATACTATATATTTTATATGAATAGCCATATACACATATGCAGGCATATACGTAATAGCTATACACTGTAATGATGGAATATAGTATCTGTTTGCAACCCATTAAAGCTACTTTATTTCAGTTTCAGGAAGAAAAGCATCATGGCCAGATGAAGGCACTAGTAGTGAGGGTTTGACAGTGAGGCATGGTGAGCATTTATCAGTCACTGATTGAACTGTTTTCAATAAGTTAGTAAGTTATTACTTTATAAGTTTTACTGTATACACTAATTCTATATCATTTTGTCTGTATTGTGTCCATGTAGCAGAGGCAGAGGCAGAATTATGCCGCGTTCAGACCAAACGCGATTTGGGCGGCGAGAGCGTCAGGATTACATTGACAATACATGGGGGACGCGCTTCAGGGAGCGGCGAGCGATCAAGCGGCGCGGCACGACCGGCACGCGCGGCGAGTCTTCAAGCGTTTTGAGCGATGTGAGCGGTGGACGCGATGTGAGCGGCCGACGCTGGAGTTGAACATTGTTGAACTTTTTCGCTCAGATCGCGAGCGTCGACCAATCAGGAGCTTTCTCCAACAGAGACCAAGTGACCAAACACTCCCAAACATGCAGAGGCACATGTTCATTGTTTTTGTTTTTTATTGACCAGATAAAAGAACGCCTCGTAAGCTTGTCTCTCGTGTGTTCCTCCGAACCACACAATCAAGTAAACACAACGCAGAGCGGAGAAAATCAGACCCGTTACACTGGTAAGTGTAACGGGTCTGATTACACTTACCCGTTACACTGGTAAGTGTAACGGGTCTGATTTTCTCCGCTCTGCGTTGTGTTTACTTGATTGTGTGGTTCGGAGGAACACACGAGAGACAAGCTTACGAGGCGTTCTTTTATCTGGTCAATAAAAAACAAAAACAATGAACATGTGCCTCTGCATCACTCACAGCCCAAACTCTTCCCTGACACGGGTTTTCAAAGGTCACTTGGTCCTTTGGTGACCAAGTGACCAAACACTCTGCCGCGCGGCACGCGCGGCAGAGTGTTTGGTCCAGCGTTTGGAGTCAAAAAGCACAAGTATTGCGGCACGCGCGGCACGGGCGATTTCGCCGCCCAAATCGCGTTTGGTCTGAACGCAGCATTAGAAGAGGATGTAGAAACTGAATTAAGTGATGAAAGGGAAAGCGAAAGTGATGAGAATGTGGAGAGGATTGAGGAGGAAAGAGACGACACCAAGAGACAGAGTAATAATGATGAGGGATTGTCAGAGGACCCACATTCTCATCACTTTCGCTTTCCCTTTCATCACTTAATTCAGTTTCTACATCCTCTTCTAATTCTGCCTCTGCCTCTGCTACATGGACACAATACAGAGGCAGAGGCAGAATTAGAAGAGGATGTAGAAACTGAATTAAGTGATGAAAGGGAAAGCGAAAGTGATGAGAATGTGGAGAGGATTGAGGAGGAAAGAGACGACACCACGAGACAGAGTAATAATGATGAGGGATTGTCAGAGGACCCAGGATTATGGCCAGAGAATCTCACCGATGGTGAAGTCGCTGTTTGAAAATAAAGCAATGTTTATTGTATATACAGGCTACTCAATTAATTTTTTACATGAGGGTAATAAAAAATATTGTAAACAATATTGATGATAATAAAACCAAAGGACATGAATCAGAATTTTATTAACTAATTAAATTATATATATATAAGAAACGTGTAGTGGGGGCCCATTGAGACTGTTTGTACCCGGGGCCCAGAATTTGGTGCTACCCCCCTGCACACTGATATTTTACTTGTGTCTGCGCAGATGAAGCCACTTCTTTCGATGATGAGGTGAAAGTTCATGTGTGTTTATGTGTAAACTACTGCTAATCGTGTGCTGCACATTTTTATTATGTCACGCTTTTTTATTCTTCTCAAAATCATTTTTACCGTTTACTGTGACCTGGCCCCTGGTCAGAGCTGGTCGATCTATTTTGGTTTCAACGTGAGAAAATGAGCTGTTTTTGAGGTGACAAAATGTTTTTTTACAGTGAAACCAAAAGCAGAGGGTTTGAACGCAGCAGCCCAAACAGATGCACAGGACTCAAAACTATCATTATGTAAACGTTGAGTCTAAAGGGATGCATTTTACTCAGAGCATGTGACAGGTGAGACTATACTGGAAGCAAGATGGATATAAGTTTGGCAAAATTGTATATTACTTATGGTTAGACAGAAGCAGGAGATGAAACATGTTGCTGAAGTTTAATGTACATAGTGAGTATAATGCATTATATGATTATATAGTGAAGTCTAACGAGTGTTTAGTGACATTCAGATGGTTTAGAGTAGACCAAACAGGCTCAACTCACCCCAGTCTCCCCTCTAGTCTCTGATCTTAAAGGAGACATATTGTGAAATTTTGACTTTAAACCCTCTCAGTTCCCAATTCGATTTTGATGACAGGAATAATTTTCCTATTGGATAGTATTATACAATCCTGCAACCACATTTGTAACATTGGTCGACTGTGGTAAATGGAGCTGACCCGGTGAAAACCCAATCACAGTTCTAAACAGGATCTACCAGCTTAGCTTTTTAGATTTGCCAGGATA